CTGTTACATTTGTGATATTTGTTTATTCTCCCTCCTGTCAAAAATAATGAAAACACAATTTTCCTTTTTTATTTAATAATTTGTTTGCGAAAATGTGATGACACCAGGATTTTAAGCATCAGCGGCTTCCTCACATCAGGGCGTCGTTAGGTCCGATCGCTTGGGGCAATGGCCCCAATGCTAATCTTTCAAGTCAAGCCCTGGGTAAAGTTGACAAAGCCCCAGATATTTTCGATAGCTAGAAACTCCCCTGGGGCTTGGTATTACATGAGCTAAGCTTCAGGGTGAACTGTGTGGATTCCCAGATGATAAACCTGCATTACAAGGAAATAAGTCAAATCACTGACGTAATCTTGGTATCACTGTCGCTGAATGGGCAGAGATGATCTCCTTAATTCAATTTTAGTAAACACCCTGAGACCCAGGATCAGTAGAATTGCCCCTTTATTGAGAAGGGGGAAGGAAGGAGTGAGGCAGTGACAATCTAATAAGATTATAAGAATATACTCTTTATGAAGAGGATACAAAACAAGAGTAACTTAGAATGTTTTACTTTCATGTTCAATCTGTGACCTCTATGTGAAAGGATCACTGGTGATATTAGGTTGATGGAGGGTGTTGCTTATTCAAATCTTCCCGTTCCTTATTCTGCCGACATATTCTGTGTAATGCAGGCAAAAATGTGTGCACAATACTGTGTGTGAAGTGCAATCATTTTTTAAGTTTTCTAACAACTGGTTTTGATTGTATGGAGAGACATACAATAACAGGTTATACTAAATAATTACAAACAGACCAATAAATAAAGTATTGTGAGTAGTGATGTAATATATATATATATATATTATATGCTGCTGCGCGGTGGGAGTAGAGGCCAGAAGCCGTACTAGGCGGAATTGGCACGCAAGAAAAAAAACGATGTTGCGGACAGGAAACAGGAGCCCTGCGAACACAATTTGGACTTACAGTCCTCTTCGTTAGTATGTGTGAAAGTTCGTAAGTTGAAAGTTCGTAAGTAGAGGAGCGTCTGTCTGTGTGTCTGGAAGAACATCAGTGCTGCTTTCTGTGGCATTCTCGGTTCCTCAAAAAAAACTATGTTCTCTGCGGTTTCTATTCCTTCTTTCTTAGTATTACTTTTGAACATATCCTACAACTGAAGAGTGACTTCATAACTTGGCAGCCTGTTATATGAGAACCATGCCCTCAAATTCACAGCTACATTCACTTAAACTATAGCGGTGCAACAGTTAGTCAATTATTAGTATTAACAGCATTTTATATTCTACACCTAAAGTATTCAGACCCTCAATGTAGTTTAGGGATAATTATATCTAAATGACCAAAATTCCTTTTAGGTGTAATTAAAGAAAAATGTCTTTAATGAGCTGTCCCTTGAAAATATTTAAACTTGCCATTTAAATTGTTAAATTAGTAACCCAACTTAGTTTTAACTTTTAATTATTACTGTTGCAATATGCCTCTTTACGAATTACTTTAATGAGTTGTTGTTTTGTTAGAATTAGTACAAGCAATATGCTCAAGCTGAAATGTAAATCCTCTCTTATATGTTGCCTCCTAAATATCCTTTTAAGCTCATATATAGTCTATTTTATCATGTAAAACATCAAACCATATGCCATCTAACTGTTTAGAAGTAAAACATCCCTGTTGTTTATGTGTTATACAATCATTTTTTAAGGAAATGATCCTTAACTAGTCTTAGAGATCAATTGTGCAAACACAGTGCTTTTCTGGTAAGTGTTGGTGTGAACCAAGATAATTTTGTTTCGATTTAAAAAAATGTGATATGACTTTTGGTCATAAAAGAAATGAGTCATTAATGCAATAATATTTACAGGTTATTTAACACAAATACAAAATTGGTTAAACCAAAAGACTTTAAAGGTAAGGGCAACAAAAAAAAGTATTTTTTTAAAAAGAGATTTTAAACTGAAGAGCACATCTCCCTCTATCGGCAATAATGGGCAACTACAAAACTCCCCAGGTCAGCTAATGGAATGAGTGACACAATCATTCTTTCATTTCACCCTAATCACTGACAGCATTCATGGTTTATAGAGCTAAAGGGACAGTCTCTTCAGAGGGAGAAATAAATAAAATCCCACAAAAGTGGTAAAGATAAACTATTCTTCTGTATTCCTTTGAACAAATTCTCACTTTCTTGACTTCATAGGAATGTGCTGTGTCTTTAGAATTCCCTAAATTGTGTCTTAATGGTTCGCTATGTTAAATGTGGACAATACTTAACCTGAGATTAGAGGGTTTAAGGACAAGAAGCACCTGAGAGTGACTGTTTGAAGCAGAACTTAAGTTATGGGACAAGTCTTTAAGAGAATCTGCTGACTTTGCTAATGGGGAGGGAGTTGGGTGCTAAGAGGTCAGCCTGTACAATTTGGGGCTATTTATTTACGACTACGGAGAAGTGTGTGATGCAGTCAATTAACAACAAGCATATATACGCTCAGGACAGTGATTAATCTTGTCCAAGTAACAGGGAAATTTTCTCCAAACTTTGTTGATACACATAATTGAAACTGTTACATTTGTGGTACAGAATGACCTGCTAAATTTACAAACTTAAACGTTTATGCATTTAGGTCCATCAGGGTGGTGAGGTTAGGGCTATCTAGGAGTTTTTACTACAATAGTGTTTCATAAACAGTGTATTTTCTATGTATTTCAGAATTCCTTTGCTGCAGATGTCCTCTTGCTCCAGAGTAAATGACTCAATATTTGTTTAAACTGGGGAAACAAAATTAAACATAATGACATCAGTGTAAACAGTCCCTGTTAGAAGCATCCATTTGAGGAGGTATGTTATTTAGGCAATCTGAATTGCCTGATGAAGTTTATAAAAGTGTACTGCACCATTGTTTAATCACTGCTTTATTATATAACCACCTTTTAACTGCTTGTCCGAGTCAGGTTCATGGAATTATATAACTTTAAATATACGATAGAGGGAAACAGTTCAAAAGGTGGTAAGAGTCAGGTTCTTATAGAAGTATTATACAAAAGGTAATACTGTAACTACCGCTTTATTTGTTGTGATATGTATGTAGCATATATCTGTCTTCTGATGACTTATCCTGGACGTGTTGGTGCTTGGGCTTTATCCCAGGGAATACCAGGGCACACATACATCTGTGTGTACTGCAGCTTCACATTCAAAGAGTAGAATTTACCATAGACAGTGCCTACAATTCTCTCATTCCACTGTCTCAGACCATGCTGATCTATGAGAAGATTTGGTTCTTATCCATGGTGTCTCAGATGGCTTATTTTGGATTGCTGGACACTTAGCCCCCCCAAGTAGATATCCACCCAACATCCATTTCCAACCGCTCAAGCTGGTCAGGGTCACTGGGACCACTGGGGACTGGAGCATATTCCTGGCAGCATAGGGCGTAGGGCTGGGGTGCAGCCAGGATGGGATGCCAGTCCAACGGAGGGACAAAAGCTGATATCATTATAATAATGTATGCCACCATAAATACATTTTTCACCATGTTCATTAACAGAGATGGACTTCTCAATAAATCAACATACTGCTGAAATTCTGCAGTATTTTTTAAGAGATGATACAAATCACATTTCTAAAGTGTAACTTGACCATGAGACATATATAAAAAAAAAAAACCTCAGCGAATAAACTCTCCTCTGAGTAACTGAATACTGCAGAAAGCAAAACTGAAAATTCCCTTGATCATCATTCCATGGCATTAGAAGACCGCTTTGACTTCATGAGTAAATTATTTACAGATAGTTTAACACAGAGGTTACTGAACTTATCCTAAACAGAATCCGCTACGGTAAACTGCATCTCTCTGAGAATTTACAAATAAGCTGCACCTCTCTCTGAATTTCACATACAATGCCGAACACACAAACTGTCTGTAGCAGACAGGCAAATGTTGTGAGTTAGCCGGTGAAGAGGAGTCGCAAAGTCTGTGAACCCACAGATGAAGTACCAATAGTAGAAAGCAAAAGTGAAGAAGCTACACAGTTCTGTCTGTGACTGTGGGACAGACCAGGACTCCACTGCTGCCACCTTCCCTGGGTCTATGGCGATGCTCGCAGACTACATAGCCCAGGAACTGCATTTCCTGCTGGAGGAGGATAAACTTGCTTGGGTTTAGACAAAGATTAGCACAGTGAATGACAGCGACCTCACGCCGGTTAGCCACTGCACCGATAAAGCTGGGGTTGTGGACCAGCAGGTCATCCCAATAGATGATGCAGTGGTTCTCGGGGATCTCCACCCGCACCTGCTCCAACAGCCACTCAAACTTCACAGGGGAGTTGCAGAGCCCAAAAGGGAGGATCCAGAAGTGCTGTTGGCCCCTCCCCAGAGTAAATGCCACCTTCCTTCTCGATATGTTGCAGGGGATATGAGTCTTGCTTGGTGACTAAGTTCAGTTTCCAGTAGTCTACATAGAACCGCCATAAGCCATCCTTCTTCTTGGCAAAAACAGCTGGGGGAGCTCAGGGACTGATGCACAGCTCAATCATCCCAGAGGCCAGCATCTTCTTCACCTTTTGCTCTGTGGTGGCTCTCTTCATAAGTGGCAAATGGCAGAGGTGGAGACCGATTGGCAGGGTGTCACCAGCATCAATGTTGTGCTGCACCAAGTTTAGTTTGAGTGCAGTCTTTGTCGTAATTAGCAAAGACTTGTTCACGCTCACTGAGCCCATTGCAGCTGCACTTGAGCAGGGCTTGGACTGTTTCGTTGGTGGCTGACATCACTGGGGGTGGAGACTTGGGAAGATGCTCACGAAGGCTGGTGGGGTCGTGGTCGCCTGTGTCTAAGAAGGGGGCGGCAGACATTGCCACACTAGACAGCACTGAGTGCCATCTGCCTACCTGGTGCTGCTGTGGACAGAGTAGTATTGGTCTTCCCTAGGCACAGGGTGTTTGCTGCCAGGTTGAGGATGGTATGATAATGAGAGTGGAAAACCATCCACATGATGCAGTCATCATGCCATTGCATTTTCCACACCACCAGCAGGTGAGTCTGGCAACTCCCCTCTCCCAGTGCTTGGTGCGCTGGGGTGGGAAATCTCCTTTGTCAGGGGATCAGGCAACGCAAACCCGCTGTTGCAGCTGTATGGGACAAGAGTAGAGTGGAAGGTTTGTAGAGCCAGATCCTCCTGCACTGATGCTAGGTAAGCTTGTCATGGCAAGGCAGTCAGGTCGACAGCCAGCACTCCCAACTTCTCTTCCCTGAACTGACGTCACGTGCTGAGGAGGTGGTGGTAGCTGATCTCATTGCAGGGTTTGCTGAAGCTCTGGTGGAGCGCCGACTTGAGTTTTGTCTGACAGAAGTGGTCTTTGGGAGGCACATCAAGAAGGATCTGAAGCGCCTTGCCTTCAAGAGAGAGACCCACGTGGACAGCTATGGTCTCTTCATCCCAAGCATTCTGCTTGGCTGCTAAATCGAGCTAGACTTTATAGGGCTCCTACAGTTGCTCCCCACTGAATTTCAGCAGCCTAACCAGTGTTGCCTGGGTGGCAGGGGCAATGAGGACACTGCATGCATTGGGGGCTGTGGCCTGCCTTTCCAGCTTGGGTTGTCTGGGAGCCCTTGCTCAGCAGTCTGCTCTCGGCTGGTCCCGCTCAGTAGGGCAAAACCTGCTCCTCCTCTCTATCTCCAACTGAAGCACTGCTAATTCTTCTTACAGGTCCCGGTCAAGTCTTTGGATGTTTGCTGGGGTGATTTCTTCAGCCATCTTGCTCCAGGACACCATACGTAACATTGATGTGCCAGAGACATAAAGCTAACAACAGCTGGGTTTGCCAAAACACCCTTTTATTCTGAGCTCTTAAAAGAAATATAATTTATCGAGAGACAAAGAATACACCTTGCTACACCCTGAAGCAGGAACAATACGGAAGGAGTCAGACATTTTGACAAGGCATTAACACACGGTTGTGACATACTCAGACATGAAAAGGTACACGGGAGACAGAAAAGATACGATTACACAATACCACAAAAATGTACTTCAGTGAAATGTCATCTGTCAAAGACCAATTGAACTTGGGTACTAATACATACATATTAATACCATCATTTTAGAACAGGCTTGCAGTGTGGTATCACACATTTGAGCAGGACTGACTGTAACTTGCAAGCAAAAATGGTATATATATTATACTATTTTGCAATAGAAGTGTATGAAGTGTATCAGGTTTTGGTTCCTGGGGATATATATCTTCAAGTATCTTTCACAGACAGCTAACACTACAGCACAGCTGAAGAAGGCACACCAACGGCTGGTCTTTCTAAGAATGCTAAAAAAAAAGCTGGCCTCTCTCAACAAGGGCTGCTAACCCTCTACTGCTGCAGCATAGAGAGCATGCTAACCTGCTGTATCTGCGTGTGCTATCTCAGCTGCACCACAGCGAGTATGCTAACCTGCTGTACTAAATCCGTCCATCAAGTGGCCCCGAAAAAACTTTGCACTACAACTGTAACATTACACACCCTGAGCCATTTTATTTGCACTATGAATATGAGCATTGTATTGCATTGTATTAATGTACTTTTACTGTTTTTATATTTTTTTATTTTATATGTTAGAGTTGCACATTGAACCTTACTGTACTGTGTACAATGAC